GAAACGTATTGAGGATAGCCAATGATCCCTTAGTATAGCAACAGATGGTGTCCCAATATCTGATATAGCAGCGGATGGTGTCCCAATATCTGGTATAACTACTGATGGTGTCCCAATATTTGGTATAGCTACTAATTGTGCCCTGGCGATGATAGGTTAAACAGAGATGGACTTGTAAGATGAAAAGAAGACGATGCCCTTGCACCGTGCACCAAGAAAATATGGCGCAACGGATTGAAATGAGGACAGCTGCATGCGGTTTGTCAGCAAGCATGGAATCGATCCATAAAAGTTGGATAGTAGATCCATTTATCCACAAAAAAAAAAATTAGATAAAGATGCGCAGTGCGTCTGTATTAGGCCGACTTTACAGTAAGGCAAGTTAATTATACTAAAATGAGGAGTGTGTGTGTGTGGGGGGGGGGGGCTACTCAAAAATAGGTTTCTATTCGATATATATATTATAGGCCTATATACTTTTAAAATAAAATAAAAAATAACACAAAAACAAACAAACAACAACAAAAAACAACGTCTTCCGCAATGTAAAATAATCGACATCATCAAAAACATGTACGGAAACTAAGTCGCTATAACAGGGGTTGACTGTCTGCGGGCCACCATGAAATATTTCGGCCCGCGGACGGCTGATGGATCACCAATAAACAGTTCTGGTGTTGGTTTTTTTTCATTCAATTTACAGAGAGGTCGATTTAAAAAAAAAAAAAAAAAAAGTTAAGCGAGAGAAAAAGATGACCACCTATCGCATGTGATTGTTGGTGTTATTGTGTTATCATTCATTTCCGAATGGGTATTAACTTTTGATTGAGATATACTAAGTCGCTCTAACAGGGGTTGACTGTCTGCGGGCCACCATGAAATATTTAGGCCCGCGGAAGGTTGATGGAACAACAATAAACAATTCTGGTGTTGGTTTTTTTTCATTCAATTTACAGAGAGGTCGATTTAAAAAAAAAAAAAAAAAGTTAAGCGAGAGAAAAAGATGACCACCTATCGCATGTGATTGTTGGTGTTATTGTGTTATCATTCATTTCCGAATGGGTATTAACTTTTGATTGAGATACGATAGTTAACTGTATAGATAATTTAGCGGGTGTTAACATTAAATCTGTTAACATTAGGTGTAGTGGCACGCGGCCCACGAAAGGTTTACTCGCTATCGAAGTGGTCCGTGAAGACTTTTGAGTTAGCCAACACACCCCCCCCCCTTGTTTTTGGTGTGCATGATTATTTTAAGACTTTATAACGACGACCTGGTGATAGTTGATAACTCACAGACAGACAACAAACGGAGTCTTAAATAAGCGCCATCAGTCATGGGGCGTCTCAAGTGGTGGGGATTGCATGGAGGAGGCGGTTTGCATTTAGGGCAGAATCCTTTTGTGTGTGTGTGGGGGGAGGGGTTGAGGGTGGCGGAGGCATTTTTCGGTCCTCTTCATTGTGCTTTATTTTTTTTTTTTAAATTAGGTTTATTCCTGATGCATTGTGGGTCTTCGTTAAGACGGGGCGGTAAACTCCAGGACAACCCCCCGGGCGTCAAAAGGCTGTAGCTGCGCCACTGGTATCTGGTTGTTGTTGACCCACTGGCCGTGGTCAAACTGATGGTTGGATGTGACGTGATGAAAACGTGAGCAAATCTTGTTGGCAAATTGTTCGACTCAGTTCATTGCCGTAGAGTAGGTTACTCACGCCTTAGGCAGAAGAAGAGCGTGAGCATACAATGGTGATGTCATGGTGGTGTCATGGTGGTGTCATGGTGATGTCATGGTGGTGTCATGGTGATGTCATGGTGGTGTCATGGTGATGTCATGGTGGTGTCATGGTGATGTCATGGTGGTGTCATGGTGATGTCATGGTGGTGTCATGGTGGTGTCATGGTGGTGTCATGGTGGTGTCATGGTGGTGTCATGGTGGTGTCATGGTGGTGTCATGGTGATGTTATTGAAAAGTCATGGTGATGTCATTGTGATGTTATTGAGAAGTCATGGTGATGTCATAGTGATGTCATGGTGATTTTATTGAGAAGTCGTGGTGATGTCATGGGGATGTTATTGAGAAGTCATGGTGATGTCATGGAGTTGTTATTGAGAAGTCATGGTTATGTCATAGTGATGTCATGGTGATTTTATTGAGAACTCATGGTGATGTCATGGTGATTTTATTGAGAAGTCATGGTGATGTCATAGTGATGTATGGTGATTTTATTGAGAAGTCATGGTGATGTTATGATTATGTCATGGGGATTGTTATGTTAGCTATAGGGATTTCATTGAGATGTCACGAAGATGTCATGATGATGCTAAGGTGATGTCATGATGACGCCATGGTATTGTAATTGTGAGGCCATGGTGGAGTCATAGTGATGCCATCGACGAGTCTTTGTGATGTCTAATGATGTCTAATGATGACGTCCTGGTAGCTATAGTGATGCCATGGCGATGTCATGATGACGTGAAGAAGATGTCATAGGGATGTCATAGTGATCTCATGGGGATGTATGGTGATGACATGGTGTTGTCATGGTGATGTGATGGAGAAGTCAAGAGAATGTGGTGGGTTTACCACTACTGTCCATAGGTAGAGTCGAGGGGGTGGGGGTGGTAGCCTTTCACAAAGTCGAGTTGCCTGGTCTTATTTTAAAAAAATCTCGAATGACCTCAGTTGTTTATGAAAACCTGATCCGAAAGAACAATTCTTATAAAACACCACATCCCATCAGAGTATCCATCTTTAAACACACCATCAAATTTTGATGGCATATAAAACACCCTACGAAAAAAATAACAGCACCTATTTCTTGGAAAACAATTGTTCTCTTTATAACAGAAATTATATCTAGAGTATCGTGCTGCTGACATCTGCTGAAATTTTGAAAATGTTTGAAATTTTGTTCCATGTAACATTTACGTAGCCTGCCCTTTCAAAGATACAAGTCCTTCTTTTAGTTCTTTCTTTTTTGGAAGTTGAATAACTCGGTTACCGTAATAAAAAAATATTAGCACCCCCATAAGGAATCGGGGTTAGCTTTACTGTAAATCCTCTTACACACAACTCAAGTATTCACCTCATCCCGTTTACCTCATTGGGGGGGGGGAGGTTGTGGGGTGGGGGTGGGTGCACGAACCATCCCCCAATGTTGGAACACGCTGACCCGACCCCAGGCAGCCCCATGTATATAAGTGTCCTGCCTGCCTCTGGGTGACCATCGTTCTAGCGAGTTAAGGGCCAGCAGTCGATACACGTGGAAATCCGGTGAGTTACCGCGTTAAGATTTTATTTTTTTACATTTGTAGCTTGTCATTTTAGATATGCATGGCGTTGTTCATAAACATTGTTCATTGTGGTGATCAGCACTCAGAGCACTAAAGCATCTTTCATACAGATCCTCATGTTGTGGCGACCCCCAAACAAAAAATATTTTCGTTGGTACTTCATGACTGTATAGATATATATGTGTGTTTCCCGGTGGTCTTAGGCGACCCATTTGAAAGAGTCGTTTGACCCCCCAAAGGGGTCTCGACCCCCCCCCCCGGTTTGAGAACTGCTGACTTAGAGGAATTTCATAGATGTCGCCAGTGGTGCAATGGCGTGTCAAAGCAGCTAAAAAAAGCAGGGTTAAAATTTTCCCGGTGGTATTAGGCGACCCATTTGAAAGAGGCGTTTGGCCCCCCAAAGGGGTCTCGGCCCCCCCCCCCCGGTTTGAGAACTGCTGACTTAGAGGAATTTCATAGATGTCGCCAGTGGTGCAATGGCGTGTCAAAGCAGCTAAAAAAAGCAGGGTTAAAATCTTTAAGTAGAGATTTAGAGCGCAATGTTTCATTGTAATGTAGGAGCGGCCCAAGGGGGCGCAAATATCATGCGCCCCGGTGGCCATCCGGGAATTTTTCAAGTCTTCCCGGCGCCCCGTCCGCCCCTGGGTGTCACCAGTGCCTGATGTTTTTGTTCACGTGACCAGCTTTAATGTTGCCTATGCAAGCACTGCAATGTGTTGAAGTAAGGGACGCGTCTTTTTCTACGTCTTTTGTCCAGTTTGTACCCTTGTTGGTGGCGCCCCCATGGTCTTATGGTGCCGCTGGTTAAGCTTCTCCATGCATCTAATGTTACCAAACATTGCCGTTAGTTAAATATGGTTCTTAAGTTCTTAAGTGGTTCTAAAGTAAAATGAATGACTTCTTTTGTCTAGTTCGTACCCTTGTTGGTGACGCCCATGATCTGATGGTCACGCTGGTTAAGCGGCACACATCCCTTTTTACTAAACATTGCCGTGGGTTCAACAGGGTTCTTAAGTTCTCAAGTGGTTCTAAACTAACATGAATTCCTCACCGTTTCCGGAAACGTGGTCGTGCTGAACTAGTGTGAAACTGAGATATTTAAAAATTTATTTTTTAAATAAATGTTTAGAAAAGGAAGTGGCGACGGGAAAATGGAAAAAAATAATAATTAAACTTAAATTGTAAATATTACAATTTTAAACAAAACTTACTTTTGATATTTCAGTTAGAAAAATCTTCCGTCGAACACGTTTCTCACGTACACATTTCCGGTATTCGCGCCACAGTGGCCGCCCATTTCATCCCGATCCTAAAACGATTCTAGCAATGGATCCTAACGTGACGACGCTCAATTGACGACACAAAAATATTAACAACAAATATTACAATAAAAGTTTTCCCTTTTTAAAGTTTGAATTTTATGACATGCCCCTATTCCTATAGTTGAGCGCATCAGACGCTGTGTCCGTTACTTGATTACTAAGTAGCTATGTCTCATTACATCTGACCCCGGCTAGGACAGGAATCTTCTGATAATTTTATATTTTTAAATTTAAATTCAATCTGAAAATATACAAATCTGGATAGGATGGAGTAACTGAGGTCCCCCCGCCCCCCCCCACGCCAACCTGAAGTGGCAACCTCTTAATTGTGTACTCTATTGATTAACTTCCTTAAATGATTATCGGTGTTGTCTGTCTGTCCCCAGCAAATATGGCCAGTCTAATAAATCAACTGGCGGTGCTTCTGACCGTCGTAGCAGTTTCATCGGCCCAGCAGCTTACAACCGGCCTGGCGAGACCAACAAACTCGAGAAATTGTAAGTTATGTCATAGCAAAACCGACAGACTAGATAAATTGTAAGTTATGTGATAGCAGGACCGACAGACTAGAGAAATTGTAAGTTATGTCATAGCAAGACCGACAGACTAGAGAAATTGTAAGTTATGTCATAGCAAGACCGACAGACTAGAGAAATTGTAAGTTATGTGATAGCAATACCGACAAACTAGAGAAATTGTAAGTTATGTCATAGCAAGACCGACAGACTAGAGAAATTGTAAGTTATGTCATAGCAAGACCGACAGACTAGAGAAATTGTAAGTTATGTCATAGCAAGACCGACAAACTAGAGAAATTGTAAGTTATGTCATAGCAAGACCGACAAACTAGAGAAATTGTAAGTTATGTGATAGCAATACCGACAGACTAGAGAAATTGTAAGTTATGTCATAGCAAGACCGACAAACTAGAGAAATTGTAAGTTATGTCATAGCACGACCGACAGACTAGAGAAATTGTAAGTTATGTCAAGGCAAGACCGACAGACTAGAGAAATTGTAAGTTATGTCAAGGCAAGACCGACAGACTAGAGAAATTGTAAGTTATGTGATAGCAGGACCGACAGACTAGAGAAATTGTAAGTTATGTCATAGCAAGACCGACAAACTAGAGAAATTGTAAGTTATGTCATAGCAAGACCGACAGACTAGAGAAATTGTAAGTTATGTGATAGCAGGACCGACAGACTAGAGAAATTGTAAGTTATGTGATAGCAATACCGACAGACTAGAGAAATTGTAAGTTATGTCATAGCAAGACCGACAGACTAGAGAAATTGTAAGTTATGTGATAGCAGGACCGACAGACTAGAGAAATTGTAAGTTATGTCATAGCAAGACCGACAGATTAGAGAAATTGTAAGTTATGTGATAGCAGGACCGACAGACTAGAGAAATTGTAAGTTATGTGATAGCAGGACCGATAGACTAGAGAAAAATTGTAAGTTATGTGATAGCAGGACCAACAAACTCGAGAAATTGTAAGTTATGTCATAGCAAGACCGACAGACTAGAGAAATTGTAAGTTATGTGATAGCAGGACCGACAGACTAGAGAAATTGTAAGTTATGTCATAGCAAGACCGACAGACTAGAGAAATTGTAAGTTATGTGATAGCAAGACCGACGGACTAGAGAAATTGTAAGTTTATCATAGCAAGACCAACAAGTTAGAGATGAATGGCCGTCCAAAGTGTGTTGAAATGATGAAATTAGGGGCAGTCCAAAATCTGGTGACATGACGATCTTAAGGGCCGTCCAAAATCTGGTGACATGATGATATTAAGGGCCGTCCAAACTGTGGTGACATGATGACATTAGGGGGCGTCCAAAATCTGTTGACCTGTTGACCTTAGGGTAGGGTATATGTGTTGAAGTTGTATTCTAAATTTTATATTTAAATAATTCAATTGAGAAAGATTATTCCCACGTATTTCGTCTATGGATTTCAACTGACCGTTTGAGCCGTATATGTTTTCCTTTCCATTTTTCTTTCTCCCAGTCAACTGTCCACAAGAAAACGGTCAGTTTGAGAACAGAGATGACTGCACCACATACTGGGAGTGCCAGGGAAACCAGCCGACTCTGAGGGAATGCCATCCCCAACTTATATTTAACCCCGCCACCGGCTACTGTGATTGGCCCCTCAACACCGGTAACCCCGGATGCGCGCGCAACAGCAGATGTAAGTGTAGCAGCAAGTCACATGGTGGTAAGGTCTCCCACCAGTGGCGTAACAAAATCTCGTCCGTACAAAATGATGAGATCTCGTCAGTTAAATGAGATCTCGTCAATTACAGGTCAAGATCTCGTCGCAGTTACGCGATGATGGACTGCCTCATGATTAGATGACTGGAGTGCCTTCTCTAATTCCATCTTTCTACGAAGGCATTTAAAACCATATTAGTGATCTGTCTCTATCCAAATGTCTATCCACTAATCACCTTCATAATTGTTGGACACAATTTATTTCAATAATTTCAAATTAAAAAAACCCAGCTAATCTCGTAATCCATTATCCATTCACATCACTTTTTTTATTCTAGTAAAATCCAGTCAAATGTGTCCCCCAAACAGACATTCTATTTGTTCCAATCCAATGTTTCCTCAGACGCACAGACCATTTGCCAGGAAAACACTGGGGGCAACCCTGGCGAGGCCTTCCTCCGCCCCCACCCTGGCTTCTGCAACGTCTTCTACACCTGCAGTTCTTTCTTCGTGCACACCCCATGCACGGTGTGTCCGGCTGGCACTTACTTCCCTGAGGTAAGGAGGACGATACCTTGATGGTGGATGAGTGTCGAATTTCAGTTGCATTGTTTGATGGATGAGTGTCGAATTTCAGTTGCATTGTTTGATGGATGAGTGTCGAATTTCAGTTGCATTGTTTGATGGATGAGTGTCGAATTTCAGTTGCATTGTTTGATGGAGGAGTGTCGAATTTCTCTTGCATTGTTTGATGGATGAGTGTCGAATTTCAGTTATAATGTTTGATGGATGAATGTTAAATTTCAGTTACAAAATGTTTGATGGATGATTGTCGAATTTCAGTTGCATTGTTTGATGGATGAATTTAATTAAGTATTTCCAAAAATAGAGAAATCAATAACGTACAGTTCAAAGGTTCATCCGAAACGCGATTTTGACCTAGGGATGTATTTTTGTAAAGCCGCAAACATAATCCTGTGTTCTTTACCTGTCCAGGTAGTCATGTCAAACTCTTTACCTGTCTAAATCATTATGTCATGTTCTTTACTTATATACGTAGTCATACCACACTCTTTACCTGTCCAGGTAGTCATACCACATTCTTTACCTGTCCAGGTAGTCATGCCACATTCTTTACCTGTTCTAGGTAGTGATACCACATTCTTTACCTGTTCAGGTAGTCATACCACATTCTTGACCTGTCCAGGTAGTCATACTCCGTTCTTGACCTGTCCAGGAAGTCATAACACATTCTTTTTTTCCTGTCTAGGTATTCTTACCACATTCTTTACCTGTCTAGGTATTCTTACCACATTCTTTACCTGTCTAGGTATTCTTACCACATTCTTTACCTGTCTAGGTATTCTTACCACATCCTTTACCTGTCTAGGTATTCTTACCACGAGGTATTCTTACCACGTTCTTTACCTGCTCTGGGTAGCGATACACATCCATTATCTGCTCTAGGTGGCCATACCCCATTCGTTATTTACCTGACCAGGTATTCCTGTCACGCTCATTACCTGTCTAGATAGTGCAGTCATGCCATAGTTACAGGTTGCCTAGTAGACATTTCTCGCCACTTACGTGCCTAGCAAAGTCTGTACTTCTCTGTGTCAAAGAACATTGTCCTGCGCATTGCTGCTCAGATTGACAAAATTGTTCATAGTTACAAATAAATTGATTTCAGGGATAACATGTTCATTTTAACCCCACATTATATTTCTGAACGTCTGATTAGCATCGCCCAGCTTCTAGTCCAGATTATGATTATCTAGTTCAGAGTATGATTATCTAGTTCAGATTATTATTATTTAGTTCAGATTTTGGTTATATAGTTCAGATTATGATTATCTTGTTCAGATTATGGTTATCTAGTTCAGATTATGATTATGTAGTTCAGATTACGGTTATCTAGTACAGCTTATGATTATCTCATTCAGATTATGATTGTTTAGTTCACAATATGATTATATAGTTCAGATTATGATCATTTAGTTCTGATTATGACATATTGTTCAGATTATGATCATTTAGTTCATATTATGATTCTCTAGTTTAGATTAGGGTCATCTCGTTCAGATTTTGGTTATCTCGTTCACATTATGATTATCTAGTTCAGATTATGGTTATCTAGTTCAGGTTATGATTATCCGGCTGTCACGTATGTCCCCCCACTCTCGTCGCAGGGCGCCACGCAGTGCATCTCCTACGGTGAGCAGGACGTCAGCAGCCTCTGCTCCCAGGCCGGCAAGCGCTTCGTGGAGGCGGCCGACAGCATGGTCGTGCGTCTGGAGTGCTGGCCCTTCGGCAACAACTACGCCAACCCCAACCAAGCTTTCGCCGACCAGCTCAAGAGCGGCTTCCGCAACACCGTACGACCCTTTCAGCCGACCTTGCCCAACCGAGGAGGATAAAGTGGAGGAAGCTCCGCCCCTCCTCTCCCCTCCTCCCCACTCCCTCGCCCTCCTCTGGCCAACCTGACCGCCACTGTCGTTGAAAGAAGACGACACGCATCATACGGTATTTGATTTCCCCACAAGTGGGGGAGAAAAAAAAAGAGCATTTAAAAACAAGAAAAAGTTGAGCGCATAAATATATATGACGTGTCTCTGACGTGATTTATGTCTTGACGTGTCTCTTCCACGTCGTCACATGGTACGCACCTGGCAAGTCTGGTTAATAACATTGTAATATTTCTTTTTTGTAAGAAAATACATTTTTAAAATATGGATCAATATCGTCTTTGTTTCGCTTCCTTGTGTCTCGCTGATAATTCTATGTTTTTAAAAAAGATTTAATTTTTGTTTTGTTTTATGGTTGCATTTTTTAAAAACCTTTATAAAAATCACCTGTAAATGAAGTGGACATTTTCCTCGCCGATTTTAATCCAGGGAAGCAACTCTATTCAAAAAGTATTGAATAATCCTTATAGTGGCATCCCTTGAATAATATTTTATTTCAGTTTTAACAAAAATTTTAAAATAATAATAATAATTAGAATATTTTTAAAATGTACTTTGTTGGTGATGGAATATTGTTATTTAGGATGTGGTCCAGATTTTGAAAAAAAAAAAAAAAAAGAGAGAGAAATATTTCGGCGTAAGCTCTGCACAAAATGTCAGCTCCTTAGAATAAGTTGAATGGGGAATAATGTATGAACATGTTCGAATGAACAGATTGAAAAACGTGACAAGGATTTTTCCTTTCCTTGGGTTTAGCTTTTCTCGTGAAATCTGGATAAAAGGGATTTACCATCCGGGGACGAGAATACTAAACCGACCACAAAGATCCCCCCCCCCCCCCCCCCCCCCCCCCCCCCCCCCCCCCCCCCCCCCCCCCCCCCCCCCCCCCCCCCCCCCCCCCCCCCCCCCCCCCCCCCCCCCCCCCCCCCTGCCCAGCCTTTTGCTAACCTCGTGTCGTCCCCCCCCCCCCCAACCGCCCCGTCTCACCTCACGCTTCTGACCTGTTTCACACTTATTTCCCCCCTCGTCTCTCACATCATCTATCCAATAATCCTACCCGGACCCCTCCAGCCGTTACACCTCACGACCAGCTACTATGCATGTTTGTGTGTGTGTGTGTGTGTTCCGTACGCACTAGAATTCCCCCCATAGGCAAGGAAGGCCATTGAAATCCGCGCTGGTAAGTTCTCTGTTCACACTACACCAGCATTGTGTGTCGGGACTCAGGAGAGCTACCACATTGATTTCTGTAGTTTCTTACAAAGTCGTTTGACTCTCCGTACTTCTATGGGCTTGTACCCGACTGCCTATTCACGTGTTTGAAGTAACAAAAACAAAAAAATTGTTTTGGTCAGGGCGTGGTGTGAACCCATATAGTAGCAATTTCTCCTTACGTGCAGTGGCGTAGAATAAATTTGGGGCTAGTGAGATGGGGTTAGGTAGTGTGGCTCTTTCACTTATTATAGCAATTTTTTTTTTTTTATATTTAGTATTGATCCGTTGATTATCATTCTAAAATTATATGACATGACAATAATGGTTTCATTTTACTATTCTAAAACTCATAAACGACCATATGCGTTAAGAAGAGGGATTGTTCTTTGTTTTAATTAAATCACAGAAATGATTTTTTTTTTAAAAATCATACATTTTATTGGGGGGGGGGCTGGGGGATAATTTGTTAAAAAAAAAAATAATCAAAGTGAAAATAATACTTTCAATCATTTTCAACCAGAACTATAAATATTTAAGCTAAATATGGATTGAACTATTTATAACAGGATGCATTTAAGCTCATGATTGTAAATATTTGTTTAATAAGATTATTTGACATCGATAAATAGAGGATCCATCCATCTTTTGAATTATTACCAAAACAGTGCGACCAAAGTGTTAGCTGTGTACCAACTCTCTGAAGCTCATAAAGCTTGTATGGTTTTGACGTTTTTTTTTGGGGGGGGGATAACAGTGGTAGTCATTAGAAGCTTTTAATTGCTTTTATCAATAATAACCAAAGAGATCTAAATCGCCATTCAGGGACTTTACCACGGTTCACTTAACACAGTTCTTTGATTTTAGGGGGGGGGGGGTAAAAAAACAAAACTGTCAAAGTAAAATCCTGATAGAGTTGATTGAATTTATTATTGAGAAAGCAAAAATAAAGCTAGAAATTTCAAAACCTGATAAGAGTCAACTCTTGCGATATGAGTTGTTAAAGCTGAATGAGTTAAGAATTTAAAAAAACAATTAATAATAAAATTTAAAAAAATAAAAAAAACAAATAAAGCGATGTAGCCTATTATTATTATTATTTCACTCTTAATGATTAGGCGTTGCTGACGGCCTCGAAGATGCGCCCCTGATTTCAAGTCACAAATAAAATCAACACGACCAAGGCTGTGATGACACTGACTCCGCACGGCAGAAACATCCTAGACTGACAAAAATATCGGAACAAAACAAAGGGGGAGACAAGTGGTGGTGACTAAAATTAGAACTATAAATTTATATATATATGCCATAACACCTAGAAAAGTTCAACTAAATGTAGAAAGTAAGAAAGTGTGGGCTGGTCTTCAAGAGAGTAAAACACAAAATAATTTCATTTCGACTGACATCCGCAAGGTACCGACTCTGACCGAGCGTGCTTGAAATGCTGCGAGCATCTTCATTGAGCTATTGGATTTTGTCGTTGTTTTTGTTTTGTTTTTTCCCTTACCCATAACGGTCTTGTCCTTCAGCCTTGGGGGCTCGGTGAAATACGGACCCAGTGTGATCGCAGCCTAAGAGGGCAAAGTACTGGCAACACCCTACTGCCGTGACCGCAGATTTGTTTAAAGTACATTAGACTTTGGTCAAAACGGACGCGTAGCACTGATCCGTGGAGCAAACAAGTTCTTATCATCCATTAGCAACCCACACACACACTACGGCAGGCCTGTAATACTTTATGGAAAGCTCGTGCGGCCCGAGAGAAAACAGGACGGTGGGAAAGCTATGAAGAAAATGATAATTTAAAAAAAAAAAGAATATTTCATTACTTCGCGGGCCGCAAAGTGGGTGCTGGCGGTCCGCATGCGGCCCCACGGTGTGCACGCCTGGACTACGGGGTAAAACATGGAGGTGTATGTCAAGACTGTCATGTAAAATCCCCCTGTAAACCATCGACCAAAGATGTCATTGTACTTATAACTTAGTCGAAAAGAAGCATTAGCATTGGAAAAGCCGTGATATCAATCCGATTTATTTTATTTAATGTTCCATTTATCTAAGACTAATCTATGACTAACCCAAACACTCTCAAATTCTGAACCGACTTGGATCGAGAGAGTCACCCAACACACAACCAGTCGTCTCTTTGAAGAAAACATAGGACAACTATAATACAACTGATTCCACGCATAAGGGGCAATAGCTTAGGTCTGTATTAATGGATTATGACTTTATTGATGAATTAGGTCTGTAGTAATGGATTAGGTATATATAACAGGGTTATATCTTTATTAGAGGGATTAGAGCTGTATTAACGGATTATGTATTTGTACCAATGGATTATTTATATCTAATAATGGATCGGGTACGTTTTAAAAGATTAGATCTGTAATAATGGATTATGGATATGTATCAATGAAATAAGTATGTCTCCAATACTCCGCTACTCCGCTATACTGTATCTGTAATAATGGATTATGGATATGTATCAATGAAATAAGTATGTCTCCAATACTCCGCTACTCCGCTATACTGTATCAGAATCACCGACTGTGGGAGGGGTGGGGGGGGGTACCATGGTTGGCCCGTGTGTTAAGACGGCACAAACCACCGTCCTACTGTTTACATTGAATGCACGGTTGCCTGCTGGATATTTCGTTTTATCACTGGTCCCGTGTCCTTTCAACAACGGCGGTGACCGACCTGCTACTGTGGCGAGTCCTACTGTACACACTCGGCCAATGCTGGGACATGTACGGCAGAGCTTGTCTGGGATTGTTCCTATTATGGCGTGGCTCATGATTTTCATTTGTTGATTCCCGGGTGTGATAAACATGAGGCGATTCAAACAAAGTAAGCGATACTATTCTTACTGCAAATAAACCAAAGTAAGTGATGTAAGTCTTACTGAAGTTAATGTCAATAAACCAAAGTGGGTAATCAAAGTCCTACTGTCAACAAAACAAAGTAAGTGATGCAACTAGTCTTACTGTCAACAAACCAAAGTAAGTGATGCAACTAGTCTTACTGTCAACAAACCAAAGTAAGTGATGGAAGTCTTACTCATAAGGTTAGAGATCAGTGCAATTTGTGAATGATTAGACACTGATAATTGAGCTAAAAGCTAGTAATAGGTAAACAAGCCTTTTACAAAGATAAATAGAGTGTATTGAAGTTCTAGACAGTGTCTTGCTATGTGACCTACCTAGACCAGGGGTTCTCAAATTCAATTTATCCAGGGGCCGCAGGAGGTAGAGTCTGAGTGGGTCTGGGCCGCATCAAGTGTTCCACACAAAAAAAGGAGATTACAAATTCACTAAAGTACATCTGTTACAATCTGCTCAACCTTTGTTATTAACAAATAAAAACAATAAGAACTAGGCTTCACTTACTTCCTCCCAATCCTTGTTGCCAGAGACCTGGCAGCGCTTCTTCTTACACAGCTGAGCAACATTTGGCTTGAGATAGGAAGCAACTGAGACCCTCAGTATAGCTTGAAGATGCTCATGCCTCTTTTCCGCTTACCCTGTGGGTTCCATTTCAGGGCTTGCTTTGTTGTGTTAGAAGCAGGTTTTCTTAGTGTATGACCAATCCACCTCAACCGCTTCTGGAGAATCTCTTCCTCAATGGGTTTCTGTTTTGTCCGCTGCCACAGTTCCTGGTTGCTGATTTTGTCTGGCCAGTGAATTCTATAGAATAGTAGTTACTATCCTAGTGTCTCATTTGTATTTACTTAGTTTACTTGTTTTAATATTTGTTTTAATATTTGTAAAGCGCTTAGAGCTTTATGATAAGCGCTATATAAAAATGCCTAAATAAATAAATAAATAAATTCTGAGAATCCTTCTTAGACAGTTGTTGATGAAGGACTGGATTCTGGTCAGGCTTACGGCCGTTGTTCTCCATGTCTCGGCTCCATATAGCAGCACAGGTTTTACCATAGCGTTAAAAATCCTTACTTTTAACTTGCTGCCTAAGTTGTTAGAGACCCAAACATTCTTGAGTTGTTGGAAGGCTGCTCTTGCTTTTCCTAT